ATTCTCTCCTCACTTACTTCACTCCAGCCACAGGCATGCTTTCTGTTCCAAAACACGCTCAACGCGAGTCCACCATGGTCTGTGCATGTGCCTTCCCTCTGACTGGCATGCTCTTTGCCTGACATCTTCCTGTTTTGCTTCCTCACTTTTTTCTGTTGTTTTCTTAAATTCCATTTCCTGAAATAGGGCCATTTCTGACACCCTACAGTTACACCTGTCAATGGTCCCTGATCCCTTATTCTGTACCATTTTTCTTCACTGGACTTATTGCCCAATAAGATGTTCAGATGTCTTCCATGAATAATTGTTTATTTCTCTATTGCCTTCTTTCCACACTATAGGTTTTGTTCTATTCAACTTATTATGCCTAAAAAAAGAGTCTGGTGCTCAGTAGTTGCTTAATAAATACCTATTGAATGAAAGAAGTGCTTCCTCCTGGAAATACTCCATTCTTTTGTTTTCCTAGTTCTGTCCCTGCTTCTTCTTCTTTTAATCCTCATCCAAGTACATGCTTAGAGAGAGAAAGAAGGGAGGGAGGGAGGGAGAAATCGAAGTGAGAGAGACATTGGTTGTCCTCTGCACATGCTCTGACTGGGGATCAAACCCACAACCCAGGTATGTGCCCTGATTGGGAATCAAACTGGCAACTTTTGTTGCACAGGATGATGTTCAACCAATTGAGCCCCTCCAGCCTGGCCCTTCCTGCTTCTTCAGACATTCCTTCTTAGTCACCTTTATTGGGTAACCCTCTTCTAACGGCTTCTCAATGCTGTGTTCGTAGGGCTCCGTCTTGGATCTCCCCCCTTCCCTCTTTACCCTCACCCTACATGATCTCATCATTTCTATGACTTTACCGTCTTTATATGGCTTACTTCCAAAATCTATCTTTAGCCCAGAACTCCAGACACAGATAGCCACTGGACTGTATAATAGGTATTTCAAAATTAGCATGTTCATAAGTGAATTCTGCACCTCCTCCCCCTACTCCTGCTATGCACTCTGAATGAAAACCTGCAACTCCCTAGAATTCCTGAACAGGAAGATTGATCTGGCTGAATCAAGGGGAAACTTCTGTTTATGGAGGACTTTATTTAAGGAAGACTGAAAAAAAAAAAGTCATTCTTATCAAAGAAGGAGAGGAGCAGGTCGTGGGTATGTATCACTGGGAGTGTTGGACACTCTTTTTCGCTAGCACTGTCCTCCCTCGCCCAGTCCTCACTCTTTTAGAAAAGGGCACCATTGGCCACTGAGTTACTCAAACCAAAACCCTAAGATTCCTACTTTTTCTCACATCCACCTCTAATCTGCCAGGAACTTCTGTTTTTCCACAAAGCACAATTCAAAGCCACCCTCTTCTCTCCACATCGACTGCTACTTCTCTGTTTGGTCACCATCATCTCTCACTGGACTCCCAAAGGAGCCTCCTACCTCATGTCCTCATGTTCGTTCATGCAGCTTTGAACCTATAACCTCAAAACTAATCTTCTTAAACTGTAAACCATATCACGTGTTTTTTTAAAACCCTTAAATAACCAGCCATGTACTTAGAATGATACCTAAGCTCCTGACACTGCCACGCCCAAAGACCTGCTGATCACTCCAACCTCAGCACGTATCATTCTCTACTGACTGGACACAAACCAGTCTCTGCCTGTTCTCAGGACACACCAAACTCTTTATTGTCTCAGTCCTTAACATATGCTCTTCTTTCATTTCTTCTCATGACGAGCTCCGTTTCAAATGAATTTATCCAGCAGCCTGAAACCACGAATAACAGGTCAAAATATATGAAACAATGTTTTCAGACATTGGGAATGAGGTAGCAGAGATGAGGAATCCCTAAAAGAATAAATAAACAACAGTGAGCCCAGTGATTGTCCCAGGTTGCTACCTGAAGACAGTCTCCAGAAGGCAGCATCAAGACGGGTAAGTTAGACAGCGCTCCTAGGTCTTTCTGGGAGGAGAAAGTGGAGTTGGGTGTCTAGGCAGCCACAGTGGCCAGCGTTGGCAGGGTATATTGCGAAAAGAGAGAGAGCAGCACAAAGAAAAAGCTCTGGACACCAAGGGTGGTTCTTCCCTGAACCTCCAGCTGAATATATGGTAACAAAACCTGAAAGGGTTAGAAGGAACAATCCTTGAAATTCACCCAGGACTATCAATATTAGTAGTTTTTTTCCATCAGCCAAAGTAGGAACATCTCCAAACTCATGGGTTTTCAGGTACAGTACCCAGAAGGGTGCTATATCACAGAGGAGAACATTAGTCCTAAAGGTTGCTCTGATTCCAAAGAATAAAGCATAAAAGCTAGCCATAAAAGAAGGAAAATCTAGACTCAGACTGTTTCTAGATAACATAACTCTGTCACAGAACCAAGCATAAGAATACTAAGGAGAGGACAAAAATATGCAGCACTGAACGCGGTAAATTTTATTTTGGTCACCCAATCAAATAGTACCAAGCTTGTAAAAAAGCTGGACAATACACACCCATAATAAGGAGAAAAATTAATCAGTAGAAACAGACCCAGAAATTATACAGATGGTGGAATGAGTAGACAAGAACATTAAATAATTATAACTATACTCCATATTACAACTATGTTATATACTATTCTAACCATGTTAAAGTAGAGGAAATATAGACCATTTAAGTAAAAATATGAAAGATATAAAAAGGCTCAAATGAAATTAAGAGATGAAAATGGAATGATCTGATACAAAAAAATACACTAGATGGGATTAATAGATTAGAAGTGGCAGAAAGATTAGTAAACATGAAAAAGAGCTATAGAAACTATAAAATGAAACAGAGAAAAGAGCCTGAAGGAAAAAATAAAAGTAAACTGTGGGCAACTTCAAGCAGCCTAAGGGGGTGATGAGAAGACTCTGGTTGGTGATGGTTTCATAGTTGCACATGTATGTTTAGCCTTATGAAATTGTATGCATTAGATATATTCAATTTATACTTCAATTGTGTCACAACACTGTTATAAGAAAGCAGTGTGGAACTAAAACAACATTGGATATGGAAGTGGGGTGGTGGACAAGTGGGTTTGTGGGAGGCTGAACAGCACCAGGTGTTAGACCTCAGCAGAGTTCAGCAACCTCAGTAGTTGAGTTTTGGCTAAGAAAGAATTCAGAGACAAGACTCAAACTATAAGAGCAAGTTTATTTATAAATCACAGAGGTAGAAGTGATCCATAGAAGAAATGGGCTCAGGCAACAAGTAACAGAGGCAAAAAAAAAAAAAAAAAAAGTCCTTGGAGCTTTAGAGAGAGGGAGGAAATGAAAAAACCTCTGGGAGAAAGGGGTTGGGAAAGGCCAGGGTGTGCTCCATAGAAAGAGCTGCACTTTGTCCCTGAACCCAGGGCTTTCATCTGGAGGCCTCAGGGAGAGCCCCAATAGAACATTCGTGAGCTTCCCTGGTGTGCCCCCCTTGTGGTCTACTGATTAGTCAGCACCAGAAAATCATTAGTCAATGCAGCTGGTCCTGATATCAGCCCTGTGTCACTCCATCTGATTTTGCTGCTTCTCTGGGCTCGGAGCTGAAACACAGCTGAAGCCTAGATGTCATCTTCCAGGGGTTAATTCATAGGGGAGTGGTCCTGCAAGGGCTTGTAGTTTTGCATCCAGGGCTCTCCAACCCAGTGAACCTCTGCACATGGCCTAAGGTTCCTACTCTGCTCAGACCTAACTGCCTGCTGCAGGTTGGGAGACCAAGTGTGGGGAAGCAATCATTTGCTAAGCTGCTTATCTATTTGGGAAGAGTGGGGTATGGATATGTCTTAACTGCATAGCTTTTTATAAAAATGTCTTAAAACAAGTATCTTAAAAATGTATGCATAACCTCTGACTGAAGCAAAGTAGACTGTTTTACTTGAAACCAGCGGAAGGGTTCAGCAGGGTGACTAAATACAAAAAATTAATAGTAAAATCACTACCTTCTCTACACACCAGCAGTAACCAATTAGAAAATATAATGGAAACAAGAAAGTTTTCATAGTTGTATACTATGAAAAACTAAGAACAAATATATTTTAGGGACAAAACTAAAAACAAAACAAAACAAAAAAAACGAACGAGATCTTTATGAGGAAGTTTATAAAACTTTATTCAAGGACATTATTTTAAATCTCAGTCTCTTACTGTGTTTCCTCCCTAATACTTACTAAAAACTGTATTAAAAAAAAACAAAACCACCACATTATCTTTGCAACAATAATAGACATTACTTAAGGTGAAAAAGAAAACAGTATTGGTTTTGTTATCTCCCCCTTTACATTGTAAATTTCTCCTTTTTTTCTTGTATCTGTGTGTGTGTGTGTGTGTGTGTGTGTGTGTGTGTGTCCTTCCCAGAGGTACTGCTATACTGGGTGGATGTGTCAAGTGGACAGAGCAGGCTCCTATTCCACCTTCCTGCTCCAAAAATCCACTTAATATATTGTCCTCGGAAAGAGGACGCAGCAGACATTAAGCTGTAAGGACCGATCCACTTGATCTCAGCCAAAAGGCGGAGAAGCGATACACTGTGAGTTTCTTGGGGGCAAAGATGTTGGTTGTTAGGGTCCTCACTCACTCTGCCCCCTACAGGTACCTTCCACAGTGCTTGGCACTGTTGGCTCTGACAGTCGCAAAACATGGGGGACTAGAGCACTCGCTGGTCCTCTCTCCCTCGCTGCCGGGTTCCATGTTACGCAATAATGCCCAGACACTGCTCCAGGCCTTCCCCGTGACAACACGCCGCCACCACGCCGCCGGCTCACCCCAGCCAATCAGGATGCTTCACACCCGCGCCCGCGCCCCGCCCCCACCGCCGCTCGCGGAGGGATCTGACGCTTTTGCCACCAGCGTGGCCCATGCGGCTGCGCGCTGCGCCCTGATTGGCTGAGAGCTGTGGCGCCGGGCGCGCAGGCGCAGCCTCGGTTACTAAGGGCGGGAGCCCGGCTAGGGCGCCGGTGGCTGGTGCTGTCTCAGGTCCCTCGAAGCCTGGCCGCGTTCGCCATGCCGAACCGCAAGGCCACCCGGAATGCCTACTACTTCTTCGTGCAGGAAAAGATCCCTGAACTGCGGCGGCGAGGCCTGCCGGTGGCTCGCGTGGCGGACGCCATCCCCCACTGCTCTGCTGATTGGGCGGTAAGGCTGGAGGGGTCAGCGGGCAGGGCAGTTGGGCAAGCCGGAGGGCAAGGCCGGAGGACGAGGCCGGAGGGAAGGAGGACAGTGGCCCTGTGCCATGGGGAGGGAAACCCCCTACGCCCGCCTGGGCAAACGGACCCCTGAACCGCAGCCCCTCGAAGTCCAGGCATCCGCCTGCGGGGCCCGGGCGCTCGGGCCTCACCGCTGTTTCTCTTGGTGTCTTCCCTGCACTGTCCCCCAGCTCCTGAGCCAGGACGAAAAGGAGAAGTACGCAGACATGGCTCGAGCATGGAGAGCCGCCCAGGGAAAGGACTCGGGACCTCCAGAGAAGCAGGTAAAGGCCGCCTGCGATGAGCAGCCTCCTGCCTGGCATCCGGGCCCGGTGAGGAGGTGTTGGATGAGTGAACGGGGGCATGTCAGGGCAGATGGCGGGGCGTTGGGGGGAGAAGGTTTTCATTTTCCTCCCTGGTGGCAGAATGCCTGTCATTAACCCAGCAGGGGCACAGGTTGGTATCCTTCGGCGGTGAAGATCAGGGGAATCCCATGAGCGAACCTGCAGCCAGTGAACCCTGTGGCGTTCAGGGCCTGTATCACCGGACCTCCGAGGGTCCCTTTCCACCCTTTCATGGCTAAAGAACGCTTTCCCGGATATTTTAAAGTAGTTTGGGCCAGTATCTCTCTTTAAATGAACCAGGCCAGCTGCCCTGTGTAAAACACTGACATAAAGAGACTTGCAGGAGTTGGCAAATGTTTCGTGCCATACGGGTAAGCAGTGGAGACAGTGAATTTGGTGAATTTCTGTGTAAGCAGAATGTAAAAATACCAAGTAAGATTGTTTTCTTCGTTTATTTCCAACTGCCGGGTAATTGTGTTTCCCACTCCTGTGTTTCCATTCTTACATAGTGAAGTTCCACTCTTCTCTCAACTGCCAACGTTAGATTGAAACTCCAGAGAGCTTTGCTATGTTTTAGGTTTTCGAGATTTTTTATTTGGGGGATTTATGTTAGGGTAGAAGCTCTAATCACTTCAATTTGTACTTATTTATACTTGCGAACCTTGATTTCCCCCCATTCTTTTTACTGCAGTGTGTTAAAAGATGTTTCCCATCAGAAAGTAAGCTGTATTGTCTATCCATCTCATTAACACTTGGAGTCAGCATGATTTTTATTTTTATTTTTTTTTGAAAAGAAAACAGTATTAGAGTATTTTTCGAATGATGTCCCTTTGGCCACTGGACTGGCACATGTTTAGTTTAGATTATCAGTAATGGGCAAGTAGTTTTCAGCAATGATTGACTTTAAGTTATTTACCATTCACTTTTGATTCAGGATATTTTTATTGTCTGCCTTCCCCTTTGTTGTCATTGACAAGCGTGTATTTATTTACCCATTGGCCTGGAGTGGTTGCTAAAGTAATCTGTGGACTGTTTTCCAGCTATTTTTCTAAATTTAAGTTTGTGCTTTAAAGTGCCAAGCAAGAGTAAGTATGTGGTCATCATTCTCTTCCTCTTTAGAAACCTGTTTGCACCCCACTGAGGAAGCCAGGCATGCTTGTGCCGAAGCAGAATGTTTCGCCGCCGGATATATCAAGCTTGTCTCTAAAAAATGATCAAGGTAGAGTAATTCTAACATGTTTTGTTTAGTTAAATTTGGGTGCTCAAGACACTGTAATATATTGATCAGTACTTTGAAATGCAAGTTTATTTTGAACTTGCATTTCAAAGTAATCGATTATAGGTGTTCACGAATTATGGCGCTAACATGGTAAGAGATCATGTAATTTGCATTTGTTGAAGTAACACTGGAGAGTTTGTTTTACAAAAATCTGTTCTCTTGGTTTCTACCAGTTCATGTGTTATCAGACATACTTTATGCATTAGTGTTGATAGCTAGACACTTAAGAAAATAGGGACTTACACACATTTGTGTTGTAAAGGTAAAGTTGAATTATTGATCTAGTCCAGAAAAAAATATAGCTAATAAGAGTCTTTGCCATTCCCTTCTGGCTTATTTTTTTATATATTTATTTTTATTGATTTCAGAGAGGAAGAGAATGAGATAGAAACATCGATGAGTGAGAATCATTAGTTGGCTGCCCCCAACTTGTCCCACAGTGGGGATCGGGCAGGCGCCCTGACCAGAAACTGAACTGTGACCTTCTGCTTCACAGGTTGAAGCTCAACCACTGGTGTGGCTGTTATAACTGTGATCTGACTTTGTTGAAGGTTCATAAACTCACAACAGTCTTATCAGTCCTGATAAAAAGACTGCCTTAAGATAATGTATAGATGGTCTTATGTATATTGGTAACCAGGAAAGGGTGAACTAAATTGTCCTTAGTTTATATCAGTTTTTCTACACTAATTTGGACTCATTTCCTAAAACCTTAGACTTGTTGATTATGGGTCATTTCTGATATTCAGGGCTTATGTTTTGTTAAATTATATAGAGTCGGCTGCAAGTTTGAATTGTCTTGTTGCTTCTTGCAGACCAGTTACTGCTTTAACCTGTGATAAGTGCCATTGGAAAGCTTTTGACTCATTTATCCTGTATGGCTGATTTGTTCTCTTTCCCATCTCCTTTCAGAATATAGGAACAAAAGGAAAATGGCTCTAGAGTTTGCTTTTGTATAAGGATAAATTCAAGATGCTCATCTGTTCATGTTGTCTGTGATTTTTTTCTTTTTTCTTTTTTTTTTTTTTAGCTCTCCTTGGAGGCATTTTTTATTTTTTGAACATTTTTAGCCATGGCGAGCTGCCTCCTCACTGTGAACAGCGCTTTCTCCCTTGTGAAATAGGCTGTGTGAAATATTCTCTCCAAGACGGTATCATAGAGGACTTCCACAGTTTCATCACTCCTGGTAAGTAGCCAGATGGAACAGGCTAATATCTTTAAAAGTATGGGTTTTATCTTGAACTCATTTGATACACTATTTGTTTTCTTAAAAGCTGATATCCATCTGAGTGCTTAAACTGTAACAAGACTTCATAATACTTGGTTGAAAAATTGTTAAGAATTAGGTGTTGACACAGGTTTTTGGTTTAGGCTTTTATTATAACTTGAGGTAAGCATCAGAGTTGGATGGATGGAATGCCTGGAACCTGCTCTGTGCTCACCTGCTGCTCTAAATTCGCCTGCTGGGGAATTTTCTAAAAGCTTTTTATACTGTGGCTCCTCTCAAGGGTTTCTTTCCACCATCCTTCACTGCAGCTGTCACCAGTTTATAACTAATTATTGCTTTGTAACTTTGAGCAAAGTCCTTAACCATCCTGAAGCTATTAGAGAGCTGCTCTAAGGAATGGTAAAGTGTGGAAAGAGCCTCATAGTTGCAGGATCTCAGATGTTCTTAGTATGTATCTCTTCTCACTGTTCTACCTCATCAAAGCAGTTCTTACAAAGGCATGGGATTTGGTTTGGTTCTCAAGAGGATGGACCTGTGGTTTCCAACCTTTTATTGACCATGCTCCACCTAAGCATCTCTCAAATCCTGAAGTTCCCCCCTCCCCTGTGACATAGAATTTAATTATTCAAAAGGTGAACTCCTATTCACATGGAGGAAGCCTAAAAGGCCATTAATAACTTGGTCTAAACAGCTTCCAAAGAACGTGGCATCCGTGAAAGAGAAAAAGAAAAGAATGAAGAGACAGTTGAAGTACTGAGGAAGAAATCACTAAGAAATTGTTTAAAAAAATAAATAAATAAATAACATGAGTGATATGAAGAAATAACAAGTAAAGTTTTAAAACATATAATAGAGAACTGAAATACATAACTATGTCACCTATATTTATATACTTTATATGAAGACCCTAGAACCATAAGAAATGCAAAATTCATTTGTTGATAACTCATTCTTGAATTGCCCTCCCAATTCATTGCCCCCCGTGGGGCGTGTGCCCCACTTTGGGAACCACTGAGATAGGGGACACTGTACCTTTAAAGGTAAGCAGGAGAAATACAATTCTTCGTATAGAGAAGTGTAAAGGAGAGGTCGGGGAAAGAAGAACTTCCTGGGTTTTGTCAGTTGCTTTTAAGTTCATTAAGATGCCCAGCACGTTTTCTTGTTTCTGGATGACAGAAAAGCTAATCCTGCTCATACTGAGAGCTGCTGCAAATCATGAGGAAGCTAGAGCTTGGAGACCTTTCCTCAGAGAACCTAAACTGTCAAGGGCCTCAGGAACCCCTGAGGCCCATTCCTGAACCTTGAGCTCAGACTCTTTAGCACAAGTGTTCTTTCTAAAGAAATACATGTTTTTATTGATTTTAGAGAGAGAGGAAAGGGAGAGGGGGAGAGAAACATTAATTGGCTGCCTCCCACATGCACCTCAACGTGGGATCAAGCCTGGAACCTGGGCATGTGCCCTGACTGGGAATCAAACCAGTCACCTTCCTGTTAACGGAGTGACACTCAACCAACTGAGCCATACTGGCCAGGGCCAAGTGTTATTACCCAAGGTTTCTTTCTTGGTCAGGAATAATTTGCTTTTTAAAGTAGCTTGACACAAATACAAAAAATTTTGATAGTCATGCCTTTGATTTAAAAATGCACGATGAGCCGAGACCGGTTTGGCTCAATGGATAGAGCGTCGGCTTGGGGACTGAAGGGTCCCGGGTTCGATTCCGGTCAAGGGCATGTACCTTGGTTGCGGGCATATCCCCAGTAGGGGGTGTGCAAGAGGCAGCTGGTCGATGTTTCTGTCTCATCGATGTTTCTAGCTCTCTGTCTCTCCCTTCCTCTCTGTGAAAAAATCAATAAAATATATTAAAAATAAATAAATAAATAAAAATAAAAACACACGATGAAATCGCTTTCCTATCTTGTATTTTCACATAGCAGTAACAGTTACCCACCTATCTTATGATGTGGTTGTCCTGTGGAATATTATTGCTGTAGGATAACCAAAGAGCTGCCAGATCTCTGTTCCTCTCAGCAAAATGTTTTGTATTACAGGTGAAATTCCACGAGGATTTCGGTTTCATTGTCAGGCTGCAAGTAAGTATAAAAGAGAGGGGTACATGAATGTGTGTGTGTACCTGGTTAAGACTTACTGCTTTTACCAGACACATGAAATGTCAGTTGAAAAATAACCCTAAGATAGTTGTTGGAGACTCTTCATAGAAGTATATATTATCCTTAAAAACTTTAAAATTATATACACTTTATAGTATAATACCTCTTTTCCATTATGGGGGTTGTGTTTTTATTGTCTGCACATAGCCTTTGGCTTTGGCATTGGCTGCTTTTACTGGCCAGATATATAGGTAAGTCTTTTAGGGGAGGTATCAGATTATCTAGGTTTATTGGAATTTATGGGGAGACTTTTCAGAGTCAAGAGAAAAGATGATGCTTCAAAAATGACAGAATGACAGTGTTAAACATAAAAGGAGCTCTGAATTAACTTTAGATGAGGAAATCAGGTTCTTATTTTCAAATTTTCAGCAGCCAAATGACATGACTGTATATACCTCAGCTCTTGAACTAAACTCTTCTAGAAACTAGATTTTAACAGGTTCCTGTTTGATTAGAATAAAAATTGTGATAATAGATTTATTTTAAAATTTATATTTGAAGTTTAAAATTGGAAAATGTTTTTCTAATCGGCTATTTTATAATACTTATAAAGGTAAATGAGTGTATTATATTCACTTTTGGTTGTGTCCTTTGAGTTTTTCAATAACAGTATGATATGAATACCAAAACACAAGCAGACAAATGGAGCAGAATGAAATACCAAAAAAGCTTGTGTGTGTACAGGTGGCACTGCATGTCTGAGAGTAAATTGATTATTCAGTAATGGGGCTGAGATAACTGATTATCCACATGGTATAGGGTGAAGGGGAAATAAACCAAATCTCTACCTCACACCATAAACAAGTCAATTCCAAGTGGAGTAAAAAACTAGTTATAAAAATAAAACTTTACCAGAAAGTTTTATTCATAACCTTTGTACATTCATGGTAAAGGTAGAGATTAATTTACCTGATTTTGTTATTTAAGGTTATTCTGTAGTCTTAGCAATGTGTTTTTAATCTTTGAATTCACATTTGGTTCTTGTTAATGGTTCTACTGAAATTATTTTTTTTATTTCCTGATTATAATAAACCTCATTATTTTAATGTCCTATGTCTGATGACCCTGATATAGAGCTTTTTATTTTTATTTTTGGGTCTATTAAAATTAAAGTCTGTTGGTTACCTTGATGTTCAAGTCATATCTCTTCATGTGTCTGGTTATTTTTTATTGAGTGCTGGACAGTATCATGTTTTTTTTTTTCTCCCCAAAGAGGATGTTGCTTCTGTCCCAAGGCTGGCCTTGCTCTGATGGCCTTAATCCAATTTCAGGGTTAAAGCTGGGTTCAGACCTTACGAGAGTTAGTCTATTTCTAATTGATCTTTACTAAAAAGGGGGGAAGGTGGACAGATTACTATCTAAAGATCATCAGTAAAATTTATAATTGACTTTACAGCATAAACAATGGAAGCCAGAAGATAATTAAATATTTTTATTACAAACTAGAGGCCCGATGCATAGAATTCGTGCAAGGGGCTATGCCCTTGCAGCCTCAGTTGGCCTTTGCAGCCCCAGCTTTGTCGGAAAGGTCATTTGGATGGTTGTTCGGTTGTCTGGTCTAATTAGCATATTAGCTCTTTATTATATAGGTTACTTTATAAACACGGTAACACTGGAGTATTACTTTTAATTCTTACTAGCTCTGGGTCTGTCAACAACTCAGTTTCCCATCCTCTGACCCTCCTCTTCCAGAATCGGTAAATGCCAAGTGACCAGGTTCAGCTCCAGCATTTCTTCTCCTGAGGCTGTGAGCCCGTCTTTACTCACCACATTTGTACCTCTCAGGGCCTTCAAGCAGGTGTCTTAGTGGTTTAGCTTTCCCCTTCTTTACTGTTAACAAAAGTTGAACTCCCGTATCCTTTTCGTAGTTTCCAGTTTTATGCTGAATTTGTAATTTGGTCTCAGATATAAACATGGTTGTTTAAAAATCTGTCCAATCACTTCAGAATCTGGGTTATTTGGGGTCTCTTTCTACCACTCTGTCTTGGTTCTGATTCTTGTATCTTTGTGTACTTGGTCATTTGTATAAAGTGTTGAAAAATGATTTTGAAGTTATTTGAGGCTTATAATGATGTTCCTTTTCTTTAAAGAGGATTTCTGTTTGGTTTTTCTAGACACCTGGGGCCTCACTAGCTCGCCAAGCCCAAAAGCACTTCCCACCAGTCACCTCCCTCTTCTGAAATTGGCGCACGACTCTGGGTTGGCGCACGACTCCGGGGGCCAGTGCCCCGCAGCGAGGCTCTGCTCTGGAGTCTGCTCACTTCCACCTCCTCTGCTAATTCCTTGCCACTGATGTGTCTCTAAGCACTTTGCATTTTTGTGGCAAGGTTGGTCTGAGTTAACTTGTCCATTTTTTTTGCTGGAAATGGAACTCTTCTTACAACTTTGAAAAAGTGGTCATTATTGTTAAATTCCGTGGCCTTATTAATGAACAGATTAATGAAATAGTGAAGACCCTGAGGTTCAGTCACTTCACAAACTGGGTTTCAGTTCTCACTCCACTGCCAACTGTTAACACAGTTGTCCCCCTTATCCCCAGGGGACCTGTCTGAACTCCCTGAGGATGTCCTACGCCCTATAGTACTGGGTTCTTCTCTACAAACCTGGATAAAGCGTAACGTCAGTCAGGCACACTCAGAGATGAATAACAGTAATAATAAGACGAGTTATGTGAATGTGTCTATCTCAGAATATCTTATTGTACTGGCTTAGCCTTCTTCATGATTTTTTCTTTGCATTTCATGGATAGAAGATTCATTCTTAGGATCTTGGCAACCTTAGCATATAATTGTTTTTCTTATCTAGTCAGCAACTTGCACCTTTTCACACAAGGGAAGCCTTGCCGGCTTCTCTGTGGCAGATCCAAGTTGCAGCACACTGCCCTTGTGCTCTGGGCTGTTCTTAAGTGAATAGGGACGTGACCACAGGCACTGTGGCCCTGGGGCCGTCGAGCTGCTAACTTGGACTACTGAGTGAGAAGACGTGGCTAACGTCTACAGCATGGAGACCCAGGACAAAGGGGTGGCTTCCGTCCTGGGTGGAACAGAGAGGGACATTGCGATTTTCATAACACTATTCAAAATAGTGCTCAGTTTAAAGCTTAAAGAATTATTATTTAGGGACTGTTCAATGAAATATTTTCAGATCACAGTTGAAGCAGGTAACAAACTGCGGAAAACAAACCGGGTAAGGGGCGCTGTGGTGCTTTCGTCTGTGACTGCAGCTTCCCTCCTCTGTGTACCCCCTACCTGATAAGGTGACGGTAAGACCAAGTCCCTAAGCTAACCAGCTTGGTTCAGTGCTCAACAGGAAGCACCCACGGCTCTTCTTTTCTTCCTACTTTCATACCTGCTTCGTAACATTTGTCTTAGTCGAGTTTTGAACTCCTGCCTTCTCTTTATTTCCTTCAGGTGATTCTAGTCACAAAATTCCTATTTCAAACTTTGAATCTGGATGTGACCAAGCAACTGTGCTGCAAAACCTTTACAGGTTCATTCATCCGAACCCAGGGAAGTGGCCACCCATCTACTGTAAGGTAAAGTCCGCGGAAGCATTTCTGTACGGCATGCCTTAGGCAACCAAGGTTCACGGAAGGCCCCAGAGAAAGACCCTTGCCTGTGTGTTAGCTGCGTGTGTTAGCTGCATGTGTTAGCTGTGTGTGTTAGCTGCATGTGTTAGCTGTGTGTGTGACTGTGTGTGTGTGTGTGTGTGTGTGTGTGTGTTAGCTGTGTGGGTGACTCAGTGTGTGGGTGACTCACTGTGTGTGTGACTCACTGTGTGTGTTAGCTGTGTGTGTGACTCACTGTGTGTGTGTTAGCTGTATCTGACCCCTGTGTGCTGTGTGTGTGTGTGTGTGTGTGTGTGTGTGTGTGTGTGTGACTCACTGTGTGTGTGACTCACAGTGAGTCATTTTTAGTGTAATTCGGTGTGATGCCTTTTCTTCTAAATTTCTCTTGTACTAAAGGCTGCTTTGATCTCATTTTTAGTTCCTCCTCCTCCTGAAATCCCTTCAACATCCTTTTACCCTAAAGAGTGGGTGTTTTAGTCCACAGACCCATCCGTCTAAACAAGATTACCGTTTATTTAAAACTGTCCTGCAGCAATCCTTTGACACTCTTTCTTATTCTCTAGAGTTCATTTGTTCATTGCTGGGTCTAAATTCTTCTAGGCTAGGAGCTGAAGAATTGGCTTTTAACCTCACTATTTACTAGCATAACCATGAATAGATTATCTTTTCCTGAACATTGGGGTCTTTATTTCTCTACCCTAAGTCTCACTAGCTTTTCATAAAATATTTTGTGAAGATAGCTGGTTATTAATAGTAGTGGTCTTTTCTGATACATGTTGCTCTTTGCTATAGTTCTCATCTAGTTGACACAGACTCTCCAGTCCCTCCCTTCCCACCACCCTCTTCTGCTCCCCCCGCCCCCCAAGAGGAGAGCATTAATAAAAAGTACCTCGGGCAGGAGAAAAGTCAAGTCGTTTGTTCTCTCCTGCAGTCTGATGATAGAGCCAGAGTCAACTGGTGTCTGAAGCACATGGAGAAGGGGTCAGGTGAGCAGCCTGAGCCCTGTTCCAGGGCAGTGGTATCTGGGTTTGTTTCCATTTTGGTGTAGTGCTCTCCGTACCTTGAAGTCACTAATCCTGTCTTTTTCTGTTCACCACTGAAAGAAATCAGGCAAAGTCTGGAGCTTCTCACTGTGGAGGATCTTGTAGTGGGGATCTACCAGCAAAAGTTCCTCAAGGAGCCCTCCAAGACCTGGGTTCGCAGCCTCCTCGACGTGGCCATGTGGGATTATTCTAGCAACACAAGGTATTCAGTGTATTTGTGATAGTGATTTTGATTTCTTTCCTGAACAGAAAAAATATGGTAGGATTAGTTTTTGCCTTTCTAGGTCATATTTTCCTATCAAACCCTGGAATCCTTGAATATAAGATTCCATTGATACATTGTTACTTTGTCTACTAAAAACAACCCAAAACTGCCAATTAAAGTGACAGTACTTCCACTTAGAATTTCTATAGTGATAAAAGTGTCTATTTATTTTACAACAAACATTCTTATACTTACATGTAAGAAATATGTAAGTGAAATATATCAGCAAAAGTATTTTTTTTCTTTGAAGTAATTTCAGGTTTAGAGAAAAAGTGCAAGAATAATACAAAGAAGTCATATATGCTATTTTCTCAGATTCACTCGTTTTAGTACGTTTCCTTTATAACTGTCTCTAGCATTGAGAGTTGATTGTGGTCATGATGCCTTTATACCCTCAGTAGGAAAGTGTTTTTCTAAGAACAAACACATTTCTAGGTTTTACCCCAGCATGATGGTCAGAGTGGGGGGTTGCCTGGCCCAGGACGGCCTCCCAGAGGCCACGCTCACGTTTTGCTGGTTGGTTCAATAATGTCTTTTTCAGCAAAACAACAATAACAACATCTAGTCTAGGGTTCATTCCAGGATCCCGGGTTGCGTTTAGTTACTGTGTCTCCTGAGGCTCCTTTCATTGGGATGGTCCCTCTCTGTGACTTCCATGAGTTGGCATGTGGAGGGGGTAAGTCACATGCTCACTTGGAGTCGCCTGCATTTCCTCATTAGACCGAGGCCATGTGTTTGAGGAACAGCACAGAGGCTGTCTCCCATCGTCTCCCACCAGGAGGCCTGTGTTTGCCCAGGGACCGATGGCACTGCTGATCACCTGTTAAGACAGTGTTCGCCACATTTCTCCACTGAAGTGATGGCTTTCCCCCCCTTATAATGTTTTGTGGGGGAGACTGAGATTTTGTGCCTGAAATCGTTGGTTTTAGCATCTGTGAATGATTTTCACCTGAAACTGTTACTGCTGTGATTGTGAAATAGTGATTTTTCTAATCCCATTGTCCACTGGAGGATGCATCTGTAATGTACTTCATGCGAGTGGACTCAAGGACTCCACTTTATTCGGGCTGTAATGTTCCTGTGATCCTGGTAACTCACTCTCATGGCCAGGGCATCCCTTCGAAGTAGGGTCCTGGCTGGCCATCTGTGCTGCTTTGCTTTCTGGCCCCCGTGGGCCTGGCTTACCCTGCAGCGTGCCCTGCAGCGGCTTGGTCAGTGCTTCTGCGGCCCCGGCGCCTGCCACCAGGACAGGATTGGGAACAGCTCTGAGTGCTAGGGGTGCTCCTTCTCCTGGAGCACACTGCCTGGGCGTGTCCGTGCACACCACCTCTGCACATGTGTAAGGTAGCTCGCTCATCTCTCACTGTGAGTTTGTACTAATCCTGCAGCTGCAGTCCTCAGGCATGGAGTTCCTGGTCGCCACCTTCTGCTTTTGCATTTCTTTCTTTCTTATTTTTTTTAAAAAAATATATTTTATTGACTTTTTACAGAGAGGAACAGAGAGGGATAGAGAGTTAGAAACACTGATGAGAGAGAATCATCGATCAGCTGCCTCTTGCACAACCCCCACTGGGGATGTGCCTGCAACCAAGGCACATGCCTTTGACTGGAATCGAACCCAGGACCTTTCAGTCCGAAGGTTGACACTCTATCCAAACCGGTTTTGGCTGCTTTTGCATTTCCCTTCTCTGCGAGAGAGCCTGGCTCCGGGTCTGTGTGTGTTCATGCTTAGGGCATGTTAGCAGTGGCCCAGGATTGGGCAGTGACACCGTAAGGAGATAGACACCCTGACTGGGGTTTTTCCAGCTGTTTTTCAGTCTGAAGGTAATAGAAAGTAGTTTGTTCAAAAGTTATTTGGGTTTTTTCTTCCCTATCAGAGTGGTTAAATTACTCATTTGAAATATAGTTAAGTCCATTTGCTAGTTTTATTCCATTTCTGTTTTCTCACATTTTTGTTTTATGTTTTGAAAGGGTAGTGCACTAGCATGCTTCAAACAAAAGTGTGTATTCAGAAGTATCACTCTCTTCAGTCTAGTTCCATTAAAAAAAAAAAAAGCTTCTTGAATTGCATTAAATGTATAAATTAACTTGGGAGAATGAAATCTTTATAAAGTTAAGTTCCATCCAAAGAACAAAAGGTATCTTTTGATGAAATTGGTTCAGCTCTATTTGGGGGTCTTTCCAGTCTGTTTTAGCGCCTTTCTTGCGCAGGCCATGCGTTCTGGGAGGAGGGCCTGCCTCTGGAGAAACGGGCTCTGTCGGGCTTACTGACTGTCCTGGGGCCAGCTGTGGCCATCGGGCCTTCCCTGGGGAATGGCACTTTGCACACAGGTCACTTCCAAGTGGTAGTTTCTCATAGTTTTTAACAGTTTTCACTCAGCAGATGCTTGCTGAGCGAGTGCGTGTTAACCATGGGTACTGTGTGTGTCTGCAGCGCTCGTGTGAGTTCAAGGTAAGATTGGCCTCTTGTGGTTTATAGTGTCATGAGTTTGCATCAGAGGAGGTAACATAAAAAGATCTGTTTTTTAAAAATCTTTTTGTGTTAAATTAGGAACCTTAAACTTTAATATTAAGTAATAGTGTCAGTTTTCCTTGAATGATATCAATGAGGTAAATTAGAAGTCTGGCATACAAAAACCCTTAAGTGGTGCTTTCTCCTGAGATCAGGAGATTAAAGTCCTTTTTTATACAGGTGCAAGTGGCATGAGGAAAATGACATTCTCTTCTGCGCTCTAGCTGTCTGCAAGAAAATTGCGTAAGTTGGAGAAAGAAGGCTCCTCTTCTGGGGTCGCCATGGAAGCCTTGGTGTTGGGCTGGCCTGGTGGCTGCTTTTGGGGAGAAGGCTGTTTGCCTCTATTTCCACGATTTTTTTTTTCAAAGCAAAGTGGGTTTTTCCTTTCTGTTTCTTTTATTCCCCCCTCGTCCCTACTTGTCTGGCATAGTTACCACCTGAGCGATTGGGGCAAACCTTCATCAGCACTTATGGAGTCTCCCTCCGAGGCTCCGCAGGAGGAAGTCCTGCTGCCACGAGGGCAGTGCTCCCTTGTGAAGGTGCAGGAAACACGGACCCACTTTCCCTTCTTAGCTCTGGGGTCTCTGGGGTCCCTTCCACACTGACATAGGTGGATCTGAGGAGAGATGAGTGTTTTCAAATTGCAGCCTTGTTTCTGGTGCCCTCTCCTTGCCTTATTTGCGAATTCTAGTGATTTTATCCTCATTCGTATTCTCTTATAATGAACCTGAAATGTTATCTGATAATCAGAAGATTAAGGTTTAAAAAATGGTGAAAATACTTTAAAATATTAGTAGTGGCCCATTTTATATATGTTGCTACCATTCCTGTTCCTTCTCAGAATTGCTGGATTTCTTTTTGCCAGTTTAGAGCAGTGTCCCTGCCAGCCAGATTTTATGGGAGAAACTAGAGGCCCGGTGCACAAATTTGTGCAGCAGTGGGGTCCTGCATCCTGGCCTTTGGGATCAGGCTGAAACCGGCTCCCCAACACCCCCTGAGTGGTCCCAGATTGTAAGAGGGCACAGGCCAGGCCAAGGGACCCCACTGGTGCACGATCAGGGCCGGGGAGAGATTGGGAGGTAGCCAGCTGGGAGTGATCGTGGGAGTGCTCCAAGGGCATATCTGGCCCTTCTAGCTCAGTCCCAACTGACCGGACCCCAGCAGCAAGCTAACCTACAGGTTGGAACGTTTGCCCCCTATAGTTGTTGAGTGGCCGTAGCATATCATTAGCATATTATGCTTTGATTGGTTGAGTAGTCGACTGGACAACTGGGCACTTAACATAATAGGCTTTCATTATATAGAACTAGAGGCCCGGTCCATGAATTTGTGCACTGGTGGGGGTCCCTCAGTCTTGCCAGCACCCTCTTGCAATCTGGGATCCCTCGGGGGGATGTCGGACTGCCAGTTTTCGCTTGATCCCCACAGACCTAGGGGCAAAACTGGCAGTCTGACATCCCCTACAGGATGAGTAGTGCAGTAAGTGGCAGGTGGCTGGGAGGAGCCTGGCCCCGCTGTGCCTGCCTCTGCTGCCTCCACTTGGTAGCACACTGCCTTGGAGGCAGGAGAGGCTTGCTCCCCAGCCATTAGTCCAGCATCTGGTGCCTATCAGCTGAGCGACGCTCCCACTGTGGGAGCGCCCTGACCACCAGGGGGCAGCTCCTACACTGAGCGTTTGCCCCCTGGTGGTCAGTGCACGTCATAGCCACCAGTCAAATAGTTGTTTGGTCATTTAGTCACTTAGGCTTTTTTTTTTTTTTTTTTTTTTTTTTTTTTTACAGAAAGGGAGAGAGAGAGAGCCAGAAATGTCGATAAGAGAGAATCATTGACCAGCTGCCTCTTGCACACCCCCTACCGGGGATGTGCCCCACAACCAATGTACATACCCCTGACCGGAATCGAACCTGGGACCTTTCAGTCCGCAGACCAATGCTCTACCACTGAGCCAGGCCGATTTCGGCTAGGCTTTTATATATAGAGACTAGAGGCCCGGTCCCGGTACACAAAATTCATGCATGGAGGTGGTCCCTCAGCCTGATCTGTACCCTCCAATCTGGGATTCCTCTAGCAATCCAGAACCACTGGCTCCTAAGTGTTTACCACCTGCCTACCTGATGCCCCTAACTGCTCCCCTGTTGTCCTGATCCCTCTGTCTATCTGCTGTTCCCTAACTGCCTATCTGCTCTCCCCTCCTGGCCTGATCCCCTTAACTGCCTAACTGCTCTCCCCTGCTGGCCTGTTCCCACTAACGGAGAACTGCTCCACATGCCATGCTCCTATCCGCTGTCCTCTCCTGGTCTAAACGCCCTAACTGCCCATCTGCTCTCCCTTCCTCTCTGCACCTTCAGACCCTGGTGCAGGAGTGCTGAGAACTCTCTGCCTAGGCCCGCACTCCTCCTGACACCCCTGCCTCTAGGCCAGGCGGCACAGCAGACCTGCATGCACCTCTGCTGGGGGGATCACTCCGGCCCATCTGATGCCCCCTTCCAGGCCAGCGTGGTGGCAGGCCTGCAAGTGCCTCCACCTCCCCCTCGGAGGCAGCCTTAGCTTGATGTTAGTGCTGGGGCCTGCTTGTGCTGCGCAGCCTGTTGACTGGTAGGGACACTGTTAGGACCAATTAGCATAATACCCCCCCCCCTCTCTCTCTCTCTCTCTCTCTATATATATATATATATATATTTTTTTTTTTTTAATTGATTTTCCACAGAGAGGAAGGGAGAGGGACAGAGAGCTAGAAATGTTGATAGGAGAGAAACATCGACCAGCTGCCTTCTGCACACCCTCTACCAGGGGTGTGCCCACAACCAATGTACATGCCCTTGACCGGAATTGAACCTGGGACCTTTCAGTCCGCAGACCGACGCTCTATCCACTGAGCCAAACCGGTTTCGGCAGCATAATACCTCTTTATTAAATAGATGTTTGAAGGGTGAGTGCTTGTAAGGGGGGCTGGGCAAGGCCTGGTGCTGACCTTTCCTCCCTCTGAAGGTACTGCATCAGCAACTCCCTGGCCACGCTCTTTGGGATCCAGCTCACAGAGGCCCACGTGCCCCTGCAGGATTATGAGGCCAGCAGCAGGGTGACACCCAAGATGGTCATATTGGATGCAGGGCGGTACCAGGTAAGGGCTGGCTGTGGAGCGCCTGTCTCTTCTCTGTCCTCCTCCGTGTGGTCCTGGCCAGCAGCCGGTCAGGCCTTTGGGTCTCCCTCCCGTTAAAGTTCCTAAAATCTCCATGCGTTCTCGCTCAGGTGGCTCCTGCACAAACCCTTTGCCTTCCTGGTACATTTTCCACTCTCACCGACAATGTGTTAAGAAAATGAAAATTACGCACACCACATCCAAACATGTATTCCAAACTTATATACACTAGTCGCTATTTAAAATCTTTACTTCGGAGATATCTATGCTGGAACCAGGGTGGATTACAGGCTGTCTCACCTCCCTCCTTGCTCACATGGAGGCCGGCTCGGCTGGAGCACACTGTCAGGACTGCGGCTGGGATTCCCCTTCCGTTCCAGGCTGTGCTCCCTGCAGGCCCAGCTCCCTCCAAACAAGCCCCTCCACAGCACTTCTCTGTAAAAGGTGGTCAGACATTGGGGAAATGGAGGTTAGTTGTCTTTTTTAAAGAGTAATTTTAAATTGTAGTAGATGCAATAGTTGATAAGAAATAAGTAACTCCTCACACACACACATCCCCCCCCCCACTCCTGCTAGATTTTTTTTCTTTCTGTTTTTTATAGAAGCTAAGGTTTGAGAACTCAGGATTCTCTCATTTCAACTATTCTAATCAGGAACCAAGATCAAACACACCCACTGGTAAGCATCTTGTATTTGATAGGAATGTCCACCGGAGGGCTCGAGCCTCTGGGTTTGGTAGAGCCGGGCTGTGGTGCTGAGAAGTGCTCTGCCCGGCTTTGTCGCAGCTGGTGGGTGGGAGTTGTATTGGCCACGAGCACCGGGGGCAGTTGGGATGGTGTGCTTGTGTCACTCAGACACTTGAACTCACCTTCAGACTTGTTCAGGGCACTCAGAAGAAAGCCTGCTGTCCTGTGGCAGCTGTGGTTTTCTAGCTTTGATATGATGGTGGCTTTGGGACGATGGGAAAGTTAAATACCTTTAAAGTAGGTGGTGCCAGAGAGCTTCCGTCTCAGTTCTCAGGGCTGAAAACAAGCAGGTGGCTGCTGAGCCTCTGCCTCCACTGGGCGCTTGGCATCCCGGCCGCCAGGCCAGGGAGCACTGCAGTGCGGCGGCGGGGGTCGTGTGACAAATGTACAGTGGCTTTTTCTCCTTGGTTTCACTGTCTCAGGTGACTACCCTTCGGGGGTGAAGATTTCCGGCCCGAACAGCAGTGTGCGGGGAAGAGGGATCACTCGCCTGCTGGAGCGCATCTCGGGCGCCTCCAGCTGTGAGGCCGCGCTCTCCCCGTCCCTGTCCCCGAAGGGCGGCTACAAGTCCTTCTCCCCCCTGTCTTAATGATGTGCTTCAGCTCTGAACCAATAGCCGGCCCTTCCCGATTGCAGCCCGGACAGCAGAGCACGTCCCTGGTACATCCACCCTCTGAAACGGCCTGCCTTGTACAGAAATTCTGTTTTGTAGAGTAAAAGTAATTGTGGTTGGAGAAGATTTTGGCATTTTTGCTTTTTTCTCAAGGGCTTGCTCTGCTTCCTGCCTGTGTAACAGGAACGCCTGTTAGGTTCACTTCCAGGACCCACTGCCCTTTCAGAGCAGTGCTTTGTGATCCCCTCCTCCACAGTCAGGCATCGGATTTCTGTATGAGAGGTGTTAAGATAGTGTTGCTGTGTTTTTCCCCATTATGACGTGTAGAACTTTCTCTTGAGACCTGCTGGCTATTTTCATTGCAAATATCTAAAAAAAAATTGTCTTTAATAAAAACAGTTTTGTTACTTAAAGTCTTTGAAATATGCTGACTTTGGCAAAAAGAATCATTTGAGGGAGGAGACGCCCAGATGGGATTATGTATTCCCCCGAATCACAAGGCCGGCCCACTGGGCACGAGCTCTCCTCACCGCGTGGTGACTCAGCCCCTCACGTTCTCTCAGACAGACTTTTGCATATTTCCTGGTTAAGTCAATGACTTTGTCTTCTGTAAACCTAATATAATACTTCCATAAATGCAAAGAAAGAAGTAATAGAGAGCTTAAGGAGAAATAGGCAAATTATTATCAAGCCGAAAGATTTAAACTAAGTCTTTTATTGATAAGCATACTAAAAATCGGTAAATATATAGAATGCCTGAAAATTGAAATTAACAAATTTGAACCAATTAGGTCACTATAGTCATTTCAGACACGCATGGAATATATATATATATATATATATATATATATATATATATATATAATCTTTAAATGGTAATGTGCCAAACCATAAAACAAGATTTAATATGTTTCAAGGAATTGACAAGCCATGTTCTTTCTCTACATTCAGTTATTAATGTTATTTTAAAATAAAATTTTAAACCCTATTTATATGGAAGTCATAATGAAATAAAAAATGAACATCATAAAGTGATAGTAAAAATTTCTGTAGAACAATTGAATAATAAATACTACATAACACTTTAGGAACATGAAGGGAAAAACCACAGCTTTAGATAGTAATGTTGGACAAAAAAAAAAAAAATCAAATATACATTTTAGGAAATTAGAAAAAATTGGAAACTAATATATTTCATGCCAACTACAAAAAAAAACAGTTTTTAACACATTATGGACAGATCATGAGAATTTTCGCTTCATATCACACAATATTTTATAAAATATTTACTTTAAAAAGAGCTTGTAAGAACATGTAATAACTTCAAAATGCAATGGGTATTTAATGCTAAGGCGTGCCTTTAACATTTATGTAAAATGTTTTTTGTACTCATTCAATAGAAATTTATGTGGCCACTGGGTAAAGCTAGCAATAAAACTACTGATCTGCAATGTGGTTAAGATAGAAAAAGAACAATAAATCCATGAAAAATGGAAGGAAGGAGAAAATGAGTAAACATCAAATAGAAAAAGGAAAAAAGGGTTCCACAAAGCCTAAGCTGTGATAAGATAAAAATTCCAATGAGATGAACCAAGCAAAGAGAAGGCACAACCACGGCTTGGGTCTGGGTGCATGTGGGAGGCAACCTATCAATGTTTCTCCTCCTCACTCTCTTCCACTCTCTAAAAATCTACAGGAAAATGTCCTCTGGTGAGGATTTTTTTTTTTTTTTAAACACAGACTAGACCCGTGGAGATTAAAGAAATGAAATAATTCTATGAACACTCATACCAGTAAATGTGAAAATAACATTCCTAGAACATATTATAAGGTAGGAGTGCCTCGAGAAGAAATGAAAGCCTGCATCTTCAATAACAGATAAATTGAGCATCAATTTTAACATCCTTTTGGCACTTGGTTTAAAGGTGAATTCTAAACTTGCAAGGATTATATCATCCCAGTATATAAAAATATGTAACAGGTTGTGTCCCAATTGGATTTATTGAGGAGAGCAAGAGTGATGTAGAAAAATGTATAAATGTCATTTGTCACAATAAAGAAAAAATGTGTTAGTAGAAGCCTTTGACAAAATTCTACACTCATTTGTGATAAAAACCAAACTAGAAATAGAATGAGGTTTTTTTGCCTGATGAAAGGAATCTATAAAAACTCTACACAAATATTCTCCACGGGGAACTTAAAAAGTGTTTCCTTTAAAACCAGGAACAAGACAGAAAACGCCCTCTGGGGCTGCTGGCACTCAGCACTACCGGAGTTCTAGCAAGGACAATATACGAAAGTAAAAAAAGCAAATCAAAGGTTTAGGAAGGAATAAAATTGTTGCTTTTCAAAGATATTGTCTGCACAAAAGCTCAAAAAAATCTATAGGTAATAAGTAGAAATAGGATTTGGCTGTAAGATCAATTTAAAATCAAATGCATGTCTATAATTATCAATAAATGGTTTAGAAAACAATTTTAAAAAAATAACCCAGCATTTAGAGTAGCAAAAACTTGAGGTACCAAGGAATAAATCTGATAAAAAAATTTAAAAAGCCTATATGCAGAAAATTACAAAACTTAGTGAACAAAGACCCAAATAGATTCCTATAATATAAAGATTTATTAAAAAGATTTTAATTCTCCCTGGATTGATCTGTAGATAAATAATTTCAATTGAAATGCCAAGTTTTTGTGGTACTTGCAAAGCTAATTATAGAAAGAATAAAGGCACGGAAAAGCCAGGCTTCTGGAAGGATAATGTGGTCAGGGGGTGGGACTTGCCCCCAACAGCATCCGTTCATTCTAAAGCCCACAGTGATAGTGAAGGTGGAAGAATCTGAGGAAGAACAGACAAACTAACAAATGGGACAATCAAAAGACTCGGGCATTCTTGGGCCTGTGACGCATGGTAGGTGACATTTCAGACCAATGGGACTATTGAGAAAATTGTCCAATAACCATTTATAAATGCATAAAGGGGAAGAACTGAAATTGGAACCCTTCCCCACATTTTTACAAAAAGCAATTCCACTTGGTTTAAAGATTTAAATGTGAAAAGGAAGCTTCTTAAAAATTTTAGAAGAATTTTGGTGTCTTGTTTTCCTTAAAGTAGGGGTGGGGAATGTCCGGCCCATGAGCCATATAAGGCCAATAAAACCATTTGGTCTGGCCCTGTGAAGGCATCAGGAGTGAGCTAATGGACCAAATGTAACAGGCTGCTTTTAAAGATAATTTAAATCCTGAGGTCATTAGGATTTTTTTAACACTTACTACAGAAATAATGCACTACCAAAGAAACTTGACACATGACTATGTTAATTTTAGAACTTGTGTTCATTAAAAAACAAAACAACTATAGTGAATAAATGAGCCACAACCGGGGAGACTCAACCACAGAATCGGGTGCATTGCCCCTGGGAATCGGCAGTGAGCACAGAATCGATGTGCCAAGTATTATATTTAAAGGAACAGTAGAGAGCAAATGTTAATAGAGGCCTTTTGGAGAGCCGGGCAAGAAATAGTGAAAGTTTCTTTAGCTCAAATTATATTTTAACAGTTGCCTTTCTACCAGTTGATATGGGAAGACCCTAGTGAAGAGCTCCTGCGACTCTTGTATTTCAGAAAAGAAAGGGGTTCTGGGTGCTGTTCGGGGAGTTCGATGTCTGCCCGCTGCTGAGCTGCAGTGTCCCTGCACTTACCTTTAAGGAAGGGGAGGTGGGGGATGGTTTCGGCCAAGGGCCATTTGGGTATTTATAGCATCCATGGGCCTTATAAAATTATCCTTTTTAAGTATTACATATTTTATTGATTTTTTTACAGAGAGGAAGGGAGAGAGAGAGAGAGAGAAACATGGATCAGCTGCCTCCTGCACACCCCCCAATGGGGCTGTGCCCACAACAAGGTACATGCTCTTGACTGGAATCGAACCTGGGACCTTTCAGTCTGCAGGCTGACGCTCTATCCACTGAGCCAAACCGGTTTTGGCTAAAATTATCTTTAAAAGCAGCCTGTTATATTTGGTCAATGAACTCACCCCAAAGGCCAGACCAAGTGATTTTGCAGGCCTTATACGGCCCTTGGGCCAGACATTCCCCATCCCTGCTTTAAGGAAAACAAGACACCAAACTTTCAGGCCAGCCATAGCTGGACTCCCAACCCGCATCTCTCCCGAAACCCCAAGCACTGGTTCACCTACCACCTCACAGTTTGAAGAATCTACAAAGCCCCTTTCTCCATTTGAGGTGGTGAAGATGGCAATTTATTTTATTTTATTTGTTTATCTTCAAATGTTTGAAATAGGAAAACAAGGCTGCCCAGCTCTGACAGCCCAACAATAATCCTCAAGGGTTGCTCTTGGCCTCCAGCCCTGGCTGAGGAGAAAGGGAACCCCTGCAGCCCCATGGAGAGAGGCCCTGAGGATGGATTGGAAATGAACTTGGCTTCCCAGGAGCTGAGAGGCAGGTCCACCAGCAGGGCCCAGAGTGCGTCTAGCACTGGTACCGGCCCTTTCTCCGCTGGCACACACGGGGGTAAGCACAGCTGCTTTGCCGGGGGACAGGGCACAAAGGAGGGAAGCGCTTAGGAGGCACGCCCTGGCACAGCAGACCCAACAGTGCTCTTCGAACTCTTCAGCTTTCCGACGCCTGCTTTCCAACCAGAAAAAGGGTTTTCAAAAATCTGTTAGAGGCCAAAGTGCTGCTGAGATGCCCTGAGCTGGAGGCCGGGCCCTCGTCCCCGCTCCTGGTCAGTGTATTGAGATAAAGTAGAAAGAAGCACACCCCTGCCCTGACACCCCCCGGCCCGCCTCTACGGACACCCCGCTTCCGTCTGCTAGTACAACAGTGTGCGATGTGTTTCCTCCCAGACTGGAGGACAGAGAGTCGCACTTTTTAATTATCACCATTTTTTTTGAATTTACATGCAAATTCAAGGATACCAAGGGCTCTGGGCAGTCTCCAGCATGACACATACGGC